TCACGTCGCTCAAAAAACCAAGTGGTGAGAGTCAATCTAATCGTTTGAATGAGAGAGATCAGTGGAAACTCACGAGGCAGTCTCAACATAGAATTGAGAGACTCTGCAATGTTGGTAGTCATCATATTGTACCTGTTCGCAGGTGCAAAGCATCATGCCCACTTCCTAAAATCTGAATCTTCCAGATACTTAGCCAATTCAGGACATTTATCCTTTATGTCTTTGAAGATTGGCCAGAACTCGTGACTTCCACCAGAGGTAGCAACCCAGTCTTTGAATATTTAGGAGTGATGTTGCGGAGTAGATGGATCCTACATATTCCATGGTGAGATAAAGAATACATATCCTCCAGTGCTAAAGCAATGGAGTTAGCCCTGTCTGATACAAAAACAAGATCTGAAGCGTCAGGGACAATCTGCCTCAAACTCGTAAAGAACCATTTCCAAGAGGAGGTGTTTTCTCCATCAACAACTGCAAAAGCGAGAGGATATAGATGATAATCCCCATCTTGAGCACAAGCTGCCAGTAAAATCCCATTGAATTTTCCCTTCAGAAATGTACCATCTACTGCAATAACTCTCCTCATCAATGAGAATTCCCGTATCGATGGACCAAAAGCCACAAATGCATAAAAGAACTTTCCAGCAGCATCCACATGTTGATAAGTTAACGATCCAGGGTTGTCTCTGCGACTTTGTACAACCACCTCGACAGATTGTAATAACTGTCTTCAGGAGTCCCTCTAACCAAAAACTGAGCTTCTTCTTTCACTCTCCAAGCTTGTTTGCAGTTAATGTGAACGTCATGCTGAATCCTGACCTGTTCAATGATATGTTTCGGTCTGAGACCTTCGTTCTTTTCTCCATAATTGCTGCATATCAAAGAACCCAACAATTTTGCAGATGTTTGTCTGTGGTTTGCCTTCCTATATGTTGTATTGCATGTATGCTCATGAACAAACTTTTTAACAACGAAAAAATCTGAACGAGGTAGCTTGGTAGCACGCATCTTCCACGTGCAATTTTCATCAACACACTGCAATACCACTCTTGACTTGTTAGAAGAGACAATCTTGTACTCAAACTTCCACTCTAGAGCTCATTTCTTCATCCTCAACATTGACTCTCCCTTGGTCTTAAAATAGCTATTCACCTTAATATCACCAGCTCCTCTTGTAGTTGGTGAAAGCCCAATATGGACAGGACTAAAATCCGGAAGAGCATTCAGAGGAACTGCAGAAACACCTTCATAAAGAAGACTCTGCAAAATTCAAGTTGTTCTGGAAGGATTAGTACTTGATTAGGAAGCCTATCCTGAAAAGTATAAGTAAGAAAAAATCAGAAAACCTATCCTTAACAATCTAAGGATTAGTACCTGTTTTTCTCTCCGCACACTAGAACGAAGCACTGGAGTGGCATTCAATGGAACATGAAAAGCAAATATATCAGAAGCTTGAGTGTAGTAGCTAGCTGAATCAGTATTAACCTGCAAAAATCCGAGTTGTTCTGGAAGGCTTAATACATGATTAGGAAAGCTATCCTGAACATTATAAAAAATCATACAAACAAGAACAAACCAAAAGAATAGAAAACAATGCACCTCTTTTTCTCTCTGCAATATAGAACGAAACACTGGAGTGGCATTCAATGGAACAAGAGAAGCAAATATATCAGAAGCTTGAGTGTTGTAGCTAGCTTAATCATTATTAACCTGCAAAAAGCCGAATTGTTCTGGAAGGCTTAATACATGATTAGGAAAGCTATCCTGAACATTATAAGAAATCATACAAACAAGAACAAACAAAAAGAATACAAAACGATGCATCTATTTTTCTCTCTGCAATATAGAACGAAACACTGGAGTGGCATTCAATGGAATATGAGAAGCAAATATATCAGAAGCTTTAGTGTTGTAGCTAGCTGAATCAATATTAACCTGCAGAAAGTCGAGTTGTTCTGGAAGGCTTAATACATGATTAGGAAAGCTATCCTCAAACATTATAAGAAATCATACTAACAAGAACAAACCAAAAGAATAGAAAACGACGCATCTCTTTTTCGCTCTGCAATATAGAACGAAACACTGGAGTGGCATTCAATGGAACATGAGAAGCAAATATATCAGAAGCTTGAGTGTTGTAGCTAGCTTAATCAGTATTAACCTGCAAAAAGTTGAGTTGTTCTGGAAGGCTTAATACATGATTAGGAAAGCTATCCTGAACATTATAAGAAATCATACAAACAAGAACAAACAAAAAGAATAGAAAATGATGCATCTCTTTTTCTCTCTGCAATATAGAACGAAACACTGGAGTGGCATTCAATGGAACATTAGAAGAAAATATATCAGAAGCTTGAGTGTTGTAGCTAGCTGAATCAATATTAACCTGCAAAAAGTCGAGTTGTTCTGGAACGCTTAATACATGATTAGGAAAGCTATCCTGAATATTATAAGAAATTATACAAACAAGAACAAACCAAAAGAAGAGAAAACGATGCACCTCTTTTTCTCTCTGCACAATAGAAAGAAACACTGGAGTGGCATTCAGTGGAATATGAGAAGCAAATATATCAGAAGCTTTAGTGTTGTAGCTAGCTGAATCAATATTAACCTGCAGAAAGTCGAGTTGTTCTGGAAGGCTTAATACATGATTAGGAAAGCTATCCTGTACATTATAAGAAATCATACTAACAAGAACAAACCAAAAGAATAGAAAACGACGCATCTCTTTTTCTCTCTGCAATATAGAACGAAACACTGGAGTGGCATTCAATGGAACATGAGAAGCAAATATATCAGAAGCTTGAGTGTTGTAGCTAGCTTAATCAGTATTAACCTGCAAAAAGTCGAGTTGTTCTGGAAGGCTTAATACATGATTAGGAAAGCTATCCTGAACATTATAAGAAATCATACAAACAAGAACAAACAAAAAGAATAGAAAACGATGCATCTCTTTTTCTCTCTGCAATATAGAACGAAAAACTGGAGTGGCATTCAATGGAATATGAGAAGCAAATATATCAGAAGCTTGAGTGTTGTAGCTAGCTGAATCAATATTAACCTGCAAAAAGTCGAGTTGTTCTGGAAGGCTTAATACATGATAAGAAATCATACAAACAAGAACAAACCAAAAGAATAGAAAATGATGCACCTCTTTTTCTCTCTGCAATATAGAACGAAACACTGGAGTGGCATTCAATGGAACATGAGAAGCAAATATGTCAGAAGCTTGAGTGTTGTAGCTAGCTTAATCAGTATTAACCTGCAAAAAGCCGAGTTGTTCTGGAAGGCTTAATACATGATTAGGAAAGCTATCCTGAACATTATAAGAAATCATACAAACAAGAATAAACAAAAAGAATAGAAAATGATGCATCTCTTTTTCTCTCTGCAATATAGAACGAAACACTGGAGTGGCATTCAATGGAACATGAGAAGCAAATATATCAGAAGCTTGAGTGTTGTAGCTAGCTGAATCAATATTAACCTGCAAAAAGTTGAGTTGTTCTGGAACGCTTAATACATGATTAGGAAAGCTATCCTGAATATTATAAGAAATTATACAAACAAGAACAAACCAAAAGAATAGAAAACGATGCACCTCTTTTTCTCTCTGCACAATAGAAAGAAACACTGGAGTGGCATTCAGTGGAACATGAGAAGCAAATATATCAGAAGCTTGAGCGTTGTAGCTAGCTGAATCAGTATTAACCTGCAAAAAGCCGAGTTGTTCTGGAAGGCTTAATACATGATTAGGAAAGCTATCCTGAAAAAAATTTGATTGAAAAATGATACAAACCTTAACACACAACCGGGAAGTTCCATCAATTGCTCTAATCTTGCCGATGAAAGTTCTGAGATGACGAGAATTACCTATAGAGATAGGGGGAAGCCTTCAACAATAGTTTTCATATCCAATGAAATCCTATAACTCAAATTGATCTCTTCCCCTTTAAGATTAAAATCTTCAGAGACAATCTTCTTCAACTCTTCATACTCGGCATCTTCTTTTATGTAAATGAAGGATACATTTATATTTGCATTAGCAGTAAATTCCCACTGTAGAGACTCTTTCGAGGTCCATTGTCCACAGACACATAACACTTCTGCCATAGTTCGATATCTGTTAAAAACCAGAACACAAGTAAGAGACTAACAATGTCATAAGGAAGATCACGAGCCTACCAAAAAGATATCAACAAGCGTAAGCAAAACAACAAGTCACAAAAGCAAAAAAATATTCAAATTTGTTATTATCAAATATAATGGAAAGCTTTCCTGAAAATTTAAAAACAATATGATAAAACACAAACAATATGATAAAGTTGAATTTGTATCTCGTTTTTAAATGTAAATCTAAAAAACACAAACACAAACGAACAAAATTGTCAAAAGCAAATCTCATCATCGTTACCAAATAACTTTAAACCAAAATCATAAAAATCCATCAAAATGGATCATAGCATCAATTTCATCAAACTGGAAAATTGAAAAGTAAATATACCAATCTGATACGACGAACGACGCCAGAGATGACAAGATGATTGACGTCGGAGATGTGAAAATCGTTGACAACCGAGAAGATACCTTTTCGAAACGTGATGAGATGAACAACACCGGAGATGAACGACGCCGTCGTTGGAGATGACGAGATGATTGACGCCGAGAGATGAACGACACCGGAGATGACGAGATGATTGACGCCGTCGTAAGCCATCGTCGAGTGATTTCAATTTCTTTTTTTTTAAAAGATTAATTAGACAAAAAAAGAGGGATATAATGGTAAATGAGCATAGTAATGAAACCTATTTTTGGGATAATGTGTCTTGTGGACTCTTTTTGTGATAAAAACTTGGATTGAGGCTATTTTGACCTTTTTTCTTATTATTTTTGTACTTGAAATAAATTTGTGTATAAAGTACAAATATGTGTCTACATGTATTCAGAGCTTTTTTCCATGAACCCAAAATCCATAAATAAAAAAGTTGGAGATATACATAACCGGACCGGGGTCGGGCCAGATCTGGCGGCTTGATTCACCGCTTACAGATCTAATGCACCCAGTACAGTGGAAAATAAGTAACTCGCCGGAAGCGCGTCGCCGATCACTTTAATGAAAAAATTGTTTTAAATGGATCTTTATTCGTCCGTGAAATAAGTCAACCTAGTTTGCGTCATTCATACTTCTCAACTCACCATCTCTAGGGCGTTAACAGGGAGGGCTCGTCTCAGTCGACAATGCTAGTATGGCTCAATATAGACAATCCGGAACCGAGAGATTCAACGGTCGCGTCGGCGGCGGTTACCCTCACAACGGCGCATCGTCTTCTGATCACGTAGCGATCGGGATCCGGAACGGTATCGGAGGAGCGAGTCAGCACGGGAAGACTAATCGGTGGAGACGATCCGTACGACCTGAGAGGATTCGTCGCCTGGGAATCGGCTCTGTTGTCTTTGTTCTCTGCCTTGCGCTCGTTGTCACTGTTCTAGCATACTATTACATCTCTGGCTTTACTAACAATGGCTATGATGATAAAGGTTACATTGGATTCGTTCTCTTGCTATTATATCTCTAATATTGTTTCCCTCCTTGTAACCAGCTACATTTGTTTTTCTCTGAATAGATTCTTACGATGGTGATTTTCTGACGAATGTGACGAGAATTGACCCTGAGAAGGTGCTTGAGTTTGGTCACGGTTCTGTGGTTCATGGACGAGACTCCAGATATTGGGATAAGGATGACAGAAGACGGGATGATGACTATAATGAAGATGAAGTAGATCATCAATCTGTTGATGTGAAAAAGGTTCCTGTTCCTGTTCCTGTGAAGGGCAATGGTGGTTTCTACAATGAAGCTGGACGGAACGAATTAAACAAGTACGAAGCAGAGTATCAAGCTTCCCTTGTCAAAGGTGGTGAGGCTGTTGATGACAATGATGCAATTGATTCTCATGATAGTCAAGGGGATGAGTACGTTGAGCCTGGGCATGATGAGGATGACAATCGAGATATGCACAAAGAGAAGCCTACCGAGGCTCTGAACAAGGAGCATATTGAGGAAAAGAATACTTCAAAAAGGTCACTTGAGGATTCTTCTCTTGTTACTAAGGGTGGTAAGTCCAGTAAAAAATCACGATCTGATATAAAAAGAAGAGGTCGAGGTCGCAGATCTTCAGGTGATAACTTCGTATTCAGCTGGGTTGGGAACTTCATTCTCTCCGTATTCTGTGCTCATCATTCTTTTCTTGTTCAAATCTTTCAGGTGCATCTTGTGAGATGAAGCTGTTGAATTCTAGTCAACCGATCGTGGAGCCCTTGAATACTCGAAAATCTGCTAGATTCTCCTTACAGTACATAGATAATGAAGATAAACCTGATGGAGAAGAACTATGGGACCCTAGGTTTGCAGGTCATCAAAGTTTACAGGAGCGAGAAGATTCCTTTTTGGTTCAAGAAAAAAAAATTCACTGTGGTTTTGTCAAAGCTTCCAAAGGATCTCCAACCACTGGGTTTGACCTGACAGAAGATGATACTAATTATATCAGTAGATGCCATATCGCTGTGATCTCATGCATCTTTGGCAATTTTGATCGCTTGAGGCCTCCTGCCAATAAAATGGTATGATTCTGTCCATCCTTGATGTATGTTTATGTTGTTTGGCCTTCCAGTTTTCTGAGTCTAAGATTTGTAAACTGTGACCAAGGAGTTGTGTATCGTAATAGCAGTCTTCCTCTCATAAATTAGAGCCTAAGTTTGAGTGGCACATACATAGTCACTAGCAGATACTTGCGAGAGCCGAGTTATCTTAGAGTTCAAGTGAAACGTTTTGAAGTGTAGGTGCATATTAACTAACTGTTGTAGAGTAGTGGGTGGAAATAGAAAAAAAATGAGAATTTTGAAGTACACAAATAGTGAGTATGAATGCTTACAAAGCTGGCATCTTATAATTGGTTTTGTGAGTGTTTTCATCAGCCATGGACAGCCATCTCTTAAGATCCCTTCTCATGGCAGGCCTTATTAAGATCTGTTAAGATCTTTTGGGAGTAGCTCCTCTAGCAAAACTATCCTGCTTCAACCAGCAACCTCAAAGATCTCAGAAAACATATTTCCTCTTTTGTGTTACTTATCTCCTCGTCCTTTATTTGCTATAGATTTTTGTTACTTGTGCTAACCTGATATTTTTTTTCTATTTATTTAGATAAGTCGGTTGTCAAGAAAAAATGTCTGCTTCATTCTGTTCGTAGACGAGATTACCATGCAAACACTTTCTGCAGAAGGCAATGCTCCAGACCGAGCAGGATTCGTTGGATTGTGGAAGTTGGTTGTTGTGAAGAATCTTCCTTACGCAGATATGCGGAGGGTAGGAAAAATACCAAAACTGTTGCCACACCGACTATTTCCATCAGCAAGGCAAGTCTTATGTCTAACGATAACTCTCATTTTTGTGGGTCTGACTTGGACATATTTTTCCAGCAGTGGCAGTTAGAAAACAGACAAGTCTCCCAAGGTTGAGTAGGTTTAAAGCAAAATACCGGAAACAACTTGAGTTATAATTTATAAAGCATATGCGTAATTGTCATTCTGAGCCACAAAACAAAAGGCATGTGTGGAATACACATGATTCTGGATGCAATATGCATACCGACCAAAATGCTTCTCAAGTCAGACCAAATCTATATTAATACACCAAGACATTTATCTGCTGTTTATTCTTCCAGGTACTCAATCTGGTTGGACAGCAAGTTGCGGCTTCAGTTGGATCCCCTTCTAATTCTGGAGTACTTCCTATGGCGTAAAGGTCACGAGTATGCTATTTCCAATCACTATGACCGCCATTGTTTATGGGAAGAGGTTGCACAAAACAAGAAGCTGAACAAGTACAACCATACTGTTATCGATCAACAGTTTGAGTTTTACAAGGCTGACGGGCTGACCAGATTCAATGCTTCAGATCCTTTCAAGCTTCTTCCTAGCAGTAAGATTTTGTTGGATAACTGATACAAACAAAATTTGAACCTTTTATTTTGGGGAGCGTTTTGCATTGGTTAGTGGTCATAACTGGTTGCTCATTAGATGCACACTGAGTTAAGTTCCTTATTAAGTATTACTCCAACAATTAGGTTATATGCTCTTTGTCGGTCAAACCTTTATTGCCACCATGCAAGGGTCAATCAACACCTGTCATTGGTCAGATGTACAATACATTTGCGTTTTGGTTGCTTAGAATCCTCTTGTTTATCTTGTTCGCAGATGTTCCAGAGGGATCTTTCATTGTACGGGCACATACTCCTATGTCGAACCTATTCTCGTGTCTTTGGTTCAACGAAGTGGAGCGCTTTACTCCCCGTGACCAGCTGAGTTTTGCCTATACTTACCAGAAACTAAGAAGGATGAATCTTGACAAACCATTTAATCTTCATATGTTCAAGGTAAAGAAAAGATCTTGGTTTGAAAAGTATATATAACAATAAGCTGGTTGATGCTCATCAAAAGCAATGGGTTGCCTTTCCTCCATTTAATAAGCTGGGTTGTAAAGTGCTTTTGGTACGAGATTGAGGGAAGTCCTGTAGTATCAGAGCCACACCCCAAATGCAGTGGATAGTCTAGTCGTGGTAGTATGTAATGTTTGTCTTGGAATCTGACTAGTGACTCGTCAATAGGGTCGATTCAGTTGCACGGGTCAGTTGGAAATATGATAAGTCCAGGCCTAAGATGTCAATGTTGGTTAATAGAAGAACCATATATTTTTGGAATCGAGAGCCAATGTTCTATTTTTGTGCTCGTAGCCTCGTACAACGATTGAATTGGGGAACTTGTTTCATACCATAAGTCTCTGCGTAGCAAAGAGTATCTAGAACTAAATTTCTAAGTTTCCATTTGTTTTGTTTCCTTGTCTTAATTTTCAGGACTGCGAGAGAAGAAGGATTGCAAAGTTGTTCCGACACAGATCAGAGGAGAAGCGAAACCTTATACAAGCAGCACTACAACAATAAACGACCTGAACATTTAAAAAAGAAAAATATGTGTCATGTATATTACTTGTTGTTGGCTCTCTACTTCTATATTCATAGTGACAATTGGACAAAAGCCACGTTTCGTTGCTCCTGAGGACTTTAAAACTGCTTACGTTGGATCGAGTATGTTGCTTGGAGTCGAGAACCAGATGTGGTATAGAAAAACAATGTGAGGTGATTTGTAGACGTAGCGCGCCGTTTTAAGAGTTGGAACCTTGAAAGAAAAAGAAGAGGCTATGATTAGATTTTTATTCAATTGATTGCTTTGTTTTTGTTTGTACCACTATCAAACAACCAATATATCCCCTTTAAATATAATTAGATTTTGACCCGCGCTTGAAAGCGTGGAAATTTTTTATGAATAAAAATTTATGTAATTGAGTTTTGTCTTAATTTAAAGAATGTTTTGAGATTAAATTAGTTCACGAAAATTTTTGGTTATGATTGTTATTCATTAGTTTTTAGTTTCAGTTTTTATTTTAGATTTTGTTTTAGATTTTGGTTTTTGGTTTTTAATTTTTAAGTTTCTATTTTTGATTTTCAGCTTTTGGTTTGGGTTTTTAATTTTTAGATCCGCTGATTTAGTTTGAACTGATATTACTAACAAACAAATCCCAAATAATCAAACATCTAATTTAAAACAGAAAATATGACAAAACTTTTTTTTAAAGAAATTTGTAATAGTTTATTTTGTAAATAAATAAAAGCAAACAAATATAATCTGTTTTTTAGTTTTTGGTTTTGAATTTTAGTTTTTAGATTTGTTTTTTGGTTTTGCTTTACATTTTTTTTTTAAATCAGTAAATTATTTAAGAGAAATAAAACAATAAATTATTTAAAAGTTACCATTAGAATTTATCAAAACAAAGTGATTGTTATTGAAAATAAAAAATACATTAACATGTTTTAAAGTACATGATTTAAATAAATAATTAATAATAGAAAATCTTGTTTTATTTAAAAATATTAAATACCTTTTGGGCTTAAAAATAATAACTGATTTTTTGATCCATTAAGGTGAAAAGTTTATTCAATATTTTTTGGAGTTTTCCCTTAATACTAAGCCCAAAAACCAAACCATATAATTTGTTCTAAATAAGCCAAAGACTATATCTCATAAATAACCATCGGTTTAATTTAAGTAATGCGGTTCAATTAACTATATGACTTATATTATTTGTAACACTCTAGAAATAGTTCAAATTTAAATGACAACTTGTATCAGTAGATAAAAAGAATGACTCTATTTTAATATATAATTTGTAATAGTTTATTTTGTAAATAAATAAAAGCAAAAAAAATATAATCTGTTTTTTAGTTTTTGGTTTTGGATTTTAGTTTTTAGATTTGTTTTTTGGTTTTACTTTACATTTTTTTTTAAATCAGTAAATTATATAAGAGAAATAAAACAATAAATTATTTAAAAGTTACCATTAGAATTTATCAAAAAAAAGTGATTGTTATTGAAAATAAAAAATACATTAATATGTTTTAAAGTACATGATTTAAATAAATAATTAATAATATACAATCTTGTTTTATTTAAAAATATTAAATACCTTTTGGGCTTAAAAATAATAACTGATTTTTTATCCATTAAGGTGAAAAGTTTATTCAATGTTTTTTGGAGTTTTCCCTTAATAGTAAGCCCAAAAACCAAACCATATAATTTGTTCTAAATAAGCCAAAGACTATATCTCATAAATAACCATCGGTTTAATTTAAGTAATGCGTTTCAATTAACTATATGACTTATATTATTTGTAACACTCTAAAAATAGTCCAAATTTAAATGACAACTTGCATCAGTAGATAAAAAGAATGACTCTATTTTAATATATAAGATACACTGCTTATATTTAACTCTTTCAAACCAAAGCGAAAACTATGTCAAATTTTGGGTTTATTTCAGATTTATTTTGGTCAAAACTATGTATATTACTGAGAATTCAATTAATTACATGTATCGAGTTCGGTCGGAAACTAGTAAAAAGATGAAACTCATGGATTAATTGTTTGAAAAAACGTTTATTAGATGAGAGAAAGGGGTTTGTCAATTACAAATAGAAAATTATCGATACTATAAGATAATTGTTAAAACTTGGAAATCGATCTCAACTTAAACCAGAGTTTACCAATCCCTTTATACTAAATAATATATATATCTAATTCGGGCCCCGGTGACGTTAGGTTCCTCCTTCACTATCGGCAACATTCTAACTTCCTACCACGAAGGCTGGAAGAAGGAACTTTCAACCGACCGCGGCCCACAGTCATTCGGGTCACCGCGCGACAGCCCACAGTCCTTCGGGTCAGTGCCACATTACACCGTCGTGTAATCACTCAGCCATAGGTCATGACCCCGTCTCTCTGACTCTTCCCTATCCAGCGAATAATGGGTTTCCTTGCACTCGCCGGGTACGAGGTCTGAAGGAACACTAACTCACCCCTATACATGCCTAGCATTGTGGGTTACACAATGCTGTCGGCCAATATAACTAATACTAAACCCGGTAATATAACCAAGGTACCAAGTATAATCACAACCAAACACAATCAAATATATTCTAGAATCTAGCACCAAGAATAATTCCAGTATATCTAACTATCCACAACCTAGAAATATCATCTAAGCATTCAACGTTCTCTAACTAACCAATCAACCTAACGATTAGCATGCTACTACGATTCTCAAGCAATACTTAAGCATGCTATCCACACAATCAATCTAACCTCAACTATTAACTAACCAAACCGTTACTCAGTTTAGACCCGGCCTCCTGCCCAGATCCAACTTCCAAGTAACGGGAATCTGCATGAAAAAAACTCAGCAAACAATTGATTATAACTCACAGTTTTTGGTTGACTCGTAGCCTTGACCCCGGACCCGTCTTCTGCAATCCGAACCCTTTCTTGAACTTCCAAAGTAGATCCACGTCTGTACTGATCTTGAGTTGGGCAAAACCTTCTTCAGATGTAGACTCAAATCGAGTAGAGTAACTGTTCTCAAAAACTCTCTAAACTACCAAAAAGACTCGGAAAAGATCGAAACTATAACTTTCTTTCTCTTACTTTCTCTCTCACGTTTTTCACTTCTTTCAGGTTGTCTGGATGTGTTGAAATAAGCTGGGGTCGTGGGCTATTTATAGGATGCATCAACCAATCAGATCCAAGCTGTGTGGCAGTCCGTGTGTCGCTTCGCATGGCTCCGGACGCATGCGTCGCGACACCTCGTGCTCCACATGTCTGGCTGCATGAACAGGATTTCATGCCAGATGACAACACGCCCCCCCCCACATGTCTGATACACAGCCTGGGTTCATGCAGGTTGACACCACAGCTCACACATGTCGCTCCGCATGCTTCGATCGCAGGTTATGCGGCACCTCGTGCTTCTGTGTGTCACTTCGCATGTGCATCAACACCTCGTGCTTCCCTTGCCACCTACCATGCCAGGCAGTTGACACGACATCCTTATCTCATAGATAAGGCCATCTCGAGCTTCTCGGTGCATTCGACTGATTTCGATCCTTCCGGCGAATTTTCGATCCGTCATCAATCCCAAATATTTTTCTACGCCTGTTCTGATGATCTGAATATTTTTAATAAATTCCAGATGATGTCTGAACTTGATAGAAAATATTTCCCGAGCCTTCGGCTTCCTTGAGAAATTTATAATATCGAAATTAGGGTTTTTCTTCAGTTTCGGTTTTCCCGTGGTGCTTCGATCCCGTCGTGCTTACTTCCCCTCCTGCTTCCGACTTATAATGTCTTCAGAATAATAATTTACTGATATGACGATTTTCTGAGAAAACTTCGTGGTTAAGAAACGTCGTGTTTCAAAAACGTCGAGCTTCTAAAACGTCGTGCTTCCAAAAATGATAAGCTTCCAAAACGTCCGTCTGATCAATCTAACACTTTGTCAAACCATGGTCGAGCAGCTTAATCGACTCATGGTTCTCTCACGATCAATTCTTCGACGTTTTCGACCATCTCACAGATCGAAACTTCCCGATTGCCCGCAACTCGACCACCAAAAAGATACTCGACCAATTTTTTTTTTTTTATACGGGTTCCTACAGTTGTAGTAAGCCGAAGTTCTGGTCTCTTCTACAGGTTGAATGATGCCTATAGGTGCAGTATCTTCTTCAGTAATGACTTCCTTTTGATCATTCAGCTTCTGCCCTGCTGCATTCCGCAGGTGACCATCTTGATCACGCAGATCTCCCGTTCTCATCGTGTATGAGAATCATAGGCGCTACCATGTCTCGATGTAGGGTGAGGTGTATCGATCGATGTCAAGTGAAGGGTATCGGTCGACGAACGGTTGTTGTTGTCGATTGATGAGGTGGTGAGAGTATCGGTCAACGAACGGTTGTTGATGTCGATCGATGTAGTGGTGAGAAAATCGGTCGACAAACAGTTGTTGATCGACGGTGGAAAGCGGATATCGATCGATAGATAGGTGTTGGTATCGATCAATGTGGAGCGTAGGTCTTTGCGGATGCTACGTTCCAAACGTTTGGGATCTTATGAGGACAAAAGTTGCTTGTCCTTGTTGCTTCTAGTACTGCTGGGCATGTACCTGAAAAAGACAAAAAGAAAAAGAAAAAAATTTGTGTCAAAAGATTGAAAAATAAAAAGTAACAAATAACCTAGACTGAATCAGATTAAATCTAATAGTAACCTTAGTTCCCCGGCAACGGCGCCTAATTTGATATCACTCAAATGTTTAACCCTAAGAAGTGAATTACTCTCTCAAATAAGAGGTTCAATCGTAGTACTTAGGGATCGAATCCACAAGGAACTAGAGTCACAAAAGATATAATCCTAAGTGATTAAGCTAGGTTGATTAGGTTTAAAAAATAAATAAAAGTTGTGAGCAATGGTAAGTTGCTAAGGAGAATGGGTTTTGGGTTTTAAAACAATAAAAGAAAGTAGCTAGATTCAAGGTTACTATTCAGAAAATCAGGATTATAAATCTATGGATGTCTTAACGAATTGCTTGCAAATATATGAGAACTTTAATCCTTAGACAAATCTATAGCTGTCGCTAGTTAGACTTGTCCATTGAGCTGATTGCCGACAGTATCGATCGTTGTTGCTATCGCAATGTCGATCGATATATGTTGCCGTCGATCGATTACTCTATAGGAGTATCGATCGATATAGCATCGGATCGAATTGAAACTGTGTTCACCCGAGAATTTCTTCTAGACCGCCTATCGCACGTGCGTAATAGAGTTTGAGCTTAGCCAAATGATTTCAAGATAATGACTATTAGATTAGTCACTCCATAATCATACTTCTAGGTAGGTAATCTAGAGTAAGCATTAGGGTTCATTTGGATAATTAATATAACAACTCAACACTCCATAGTTAGGGCTAATCTCTCATAACTATTGGAACCCTAAATCT